TATACTAAAGATGTCGTGGGTTATGTTTTGGATGATATGTTCAAAAAAGCCCAAAAAAAGGGAAAACGAAATGGTGTTGGGGTCGCCGAAGAGTGGCCCCGAGACAAAAGTTCCCTAAATTTTGGGAACTTTTTTAAATGTACAAAAAAGTCTGAATTATTTGAATTTTTTAGCCACTAGATAGTAATTAAGTTTAAACAAGATGAAAAGTATGTTTTATCAACAAAGGTGTTTTGATGTAATAGCAACATCTAAAATAGTAATATATCATCCATTGCTCCTTTTTCACATGAGGAAGCTGACACAAAGCTCATTCTTCATGGTCATGTTGGAGAATCTGGAATAAAAAGCGCAATGATTAAAACAGTTTGACACTGATGTTTTTCTTGCTGTGGGATGTTCCCAGGAGTGTGAAGTTGTAAAAATTGTGGGTTGATTTGGAGGAAGAAACCCTTCGTATATTTTCCTTCTTACACTAGTTGAAAAAATTGGTGTCAAGACAAGAAAAGGCAATTCCAGGGTTCCATTTTGCGATTTCGTGCTGCGACCAGGTATCGATTTGTGGCAGGGGGAAGCGGTGGAAATTTTAGAACTATGCTGAATAAAACAGACTTTTAGATTTTGGGGCATGCCAAAGGACACTGACATTTCTGAAAACATGGCAACTGTTGAAGTTTTTTTCTTTTTTTATGACGGTCAAAGGGAAAGCAAACAACAAATATGTCGACGGAAATTTCCACATAAAAACCGTCCATGATTCTATTCCCCCAAAACCGCGGTCTCTATCACACACACAGTCTGTTATAAGGGTTATTGTGGGCAAACTTTTAATCCCTCGAAAACTACCCTTCCATTGAGTACGGTTGACAAAAAAGGGGTGAGGATGTGTCCTTGGCAGCCTCTTGGGACAATTTGTTGCCGCGCAAAATTTGCTGGAACTATTAAAATTTTGCTGTAACAAGGGAAGGCTGCGCGGGAAAATTAAATGGTAAAAGCTGACCCGGCCGCTTTATGAAAGTAACGGGGCCCGGACAGGCTATGAAATGTTAAAAAAGTTTATGTTTAATATCATTAATTGATCTTAAAAATGTTTACATTGATATTTTGGTGAAATACGTAAGAACCGAGAAAAATGCGCTTTTATAGTTGGAATTTGTATTTTTTGGTTTATACTAAAAATTTGTCATAAATTGTCCTCTTCTTGAACAAGCCTTTAGTGGTCACAGTATAAATATTGATTATCAACTATTAAGATTAATCTTTTAACCTTGGATTTATTCCAGGGTACTAAGGTTAAATCCAAAACTGTCTTAAAAAATTTGTGGGAAATGAGTCATAAATGAAACCATATAAAATCCCTCACTGGTGACCATTTTACCGCAAATTTCTTTAGTCAAAAATTAATGTAAACTTTTCCTTTTGTTTAAAACACATATATATAATATTTTTATCTAGGTTTTGCATTATATTTTAAGCTAATGTATATATACTATGGGTATTTTCAAAATAGGATTTTTTGGGGCTCTTGGGGGCCCTTTTTAAATTTTTTCCCCCTTTTGATTTTTGGCTGGGTTCAATCCAAACGTCAAAACATCAAACTAAAATGATCAAAGTGGGTTTTTTTGTAGAATTTTTAGAACATTATATTATTTGACTCTAACTACTTAAAGCAAAACTGTGAAAACTTTTTCCCAGTACAAAAAATTTCCCAAACATTCAAACATTTAACCAAATGAAATATTGTTTATCCCTTTTTTAACATGAAACTCGGCTCCATTTCTTTAAATTTTTAATCATATCTTTGAAAATTTTTTTTAAAGAAAATTTTTTTTTAGTCAAAATTTTGGGATTTTTCAGTGAAAAAATTTTATTTTTTCCAGATGGCGACTGCAAGAAACAGTCAGGGTTTCCCCAGCCCGTAAACTGGGTTTCACTTATTTGGTACGGTATATCACTTTTAGCTCCAATTAACAGGGTTTTTGAAATTTTTAAACTGGATTTCCTATAAAGCGAAAAATTAATTTAAAAAAGGGGACCTGCTTTTGTATTAAAGTTTCCTATTAATTGCAAAACCCCAAACATGGATCATTTGTTTTTTAATAAAATCTTACAAATTTTAAAATCTATGTAATTATGTATTTTTTCGTATTTAAAATAAAAAATTGATTACAATTTAAATTTTCCCCCCTATATAACTCCCCACCACATATTTTTCATTTTAACTGAAAAAGACCATAACATTTTAAACCTACTTATGGGCATCCCTAGGTGGTAGAATCAAACTATTCAAGTGTGAAGGTTAACATGTCAGAGTTTTATTTCGTTGTTTTTTTTTCTTTTCTTGTAAATATTTTAACAAAACAATGGAATTCAAAAAAGTTTTGATTAACTTGGGAAATCTATAGAGGTATGTTATTTGAAATATGTATAACTTATTTATGTTATCCGAATTTCTTTTTTCACAAAGGTAAAACAAAGTCATTAACACTTTCAAATAGCTATTAAATTAACATCGTTATTCATTAGAGCTGTCACTGAATATTTTGATACTGATTTATCTTCTAAGTATTCAACATTCTATTTCAAAATTTATATTGATACAAATACAATTTAAAACCTGTTTTCCCTGTCTTGCTCAAATATGTCTGTATTTTATCTGCATAAATATGTTGGGTTTTTTTCTCTCCCTTTTTTTTGGTTAGCTTGAAACTTTAATTAAATTTTCAAGTACGGTGGTCAGTGATGTATAATAAGAAGAAAACATACTTTCTTGCTGTATAAGATGTCTGTAACAAGAATGCAGAAGCACAATGAAAACAGTTTTTATCACACACCTGTGCCAATTTTGAGACTCCGTAAATATGGTATTGCATGGCCGTGCATATATTTTGACGTGACGTCATTATAAGCGTTATACAAACATAGTGTAAAGACGCGCTAAATGTTAGCATTATACAATAGGCATGTCAATGAAAATTGACTCTTATTTCACTTTAATCGGTCTTTATTTTGGGTACTTGATAAATAGAATATCAAATTCATGTAATTTCATTACTGAATTTATTGCACTTGTTGAATAAAATAATATATTGCTCGCCAGAGGCTCGCATAATATAATTTTATTCAACTTGTGCAATAAATTCAGTATTGAAATTATACTCATTCAATATCCTCTATATAACACTTGCATTGTATTCAAAAGGTTTCCAATGACTACTAGCCATTTTATTCTATAATATCATTGATTGTTGGCTTTCCATATATCAACATAAAATGTTTCTATCAATGACAGCCCTTTAATTTATCTGGCCAATAAAATAATCACTATGATACATGTATGTTTTTATAAAACCTACAAATTATTCTGGAATAATTGCATGTATACCTGACATTTCAGGCCTGATCATCATTGATAGCACAGAACATCAAGATAATTTGAAGGAAATTGATGACGACAACGGACATGGCTGAGAAAACTAACAAATCTCTACAAGACAAGACTAAAATAAATGATGAGTCAAATAAATCATCGACTGATCCATCATCTTCTAGTTTGAAGTCCAGACAATGCTCTTATATTGATAAGATCTGCATCCAAACATCACAAGATACAGATAACTGCTGGATAGGTGGCATGACACTTTTTACTCCTGATCTTCTCATCATTACAGATTACAGTAACAGGGCCATCAAAATGGTTGATATAAGTGGAAAGTCTGTACTAGATCAACTATGCCTCGATAGTGATCCTTGGGATGTCACATTGGTTTCACAATATGAACTTGCTGTCACACTTCCCAGCAAGAAAACTATTCAGTTCTTATCTGTTTCAAGAAATACCCTCAAAAAGAAGCACACTCTGAAGGTTGATGGAACCTGTTGGGGAGTAAGCTGTCATAAAGATAAATTGGTGGTGTCATTTGGCAATCCGGCTAAAGTTCAAATCCTTCTTATTGATGGTACTGTATTACAGACAATCCAAGACGAAAATATTTTCAAAAGTCCAGACTATCATACAACATGTGACAATTATATTTATGTATCTGATTATAATATGAAAACAATCACCAAACTAAACTGGCAGTGTGAGGTGAAAGGTAAATATGTGAGTGCAGATAAGCTTTATGGCTTGACAATGTCAGAAGATGGGACAGTGTTTGTTTGTAACTATGACAACGATACAATAGAAGAGATATCAGGGGACTGTACTAAAGGACAAGTTGTTGTAAAGAATGTGTCAGATCCTCATATTGTCGTCTGGTCTGCTGAAACATGTACCTTGTTCACAAGCTTTCAAGAGTGTAATGAAGAGGATAACTTTATCAAAATCTTTAAATTGTCTTAAAAAGTAATAAATGATATTCGTACTAAAATTTAATGCCCTTCAACCTCAGTCAAACATTGTGTTTTTATCTGGAAAAAGTTGTGAATATACTCATTTTCAGATAGTTTTCAAAAGCTTATAATTTATAATTTAAAATTTGGCTAATGCTGTAAGTCATTTTTGTCCAATTTACCTTTTTAATTGAAAAAATCTAGATCTCTTTATAGAAAGTATTTGTTGTTTTTTTCTTTAAAGAAAAATTCTAATTGAAACATCCCAATCAAAAATTTAAGATGCTGTGAAAAATTTCTTCAACCATATATATAATTTTTTTGTTGGGTTTTATGTTGTACCAACACAGTATAGGTCATATGGTGACTTTACAGCTTTACTGCTGGAGGAAGAACTTAGGTGCCCCTCTGTACATTATTTCAGACACAAACAGGCACCTGAGTAGAACCACCAATGCTCTGTAAAATAGTGAGTTACATTTGAAATCTGATGATGCGTGCATGGCTAGAACATACAGCAGTGAGAGGCAAGTGGTTTGAAGTCTAGGACCTTAACCACTCAGCCACTTAAACATTCCAATAAAATTTGTATCAAATCCAAGTGTATTGACACACTATTTTTCAAAAGATAACCGAAATACAAATTAAGAAATGAAAAGTCTCACCTGTTAGCATTGGAATAAGAGCAGCTGTTGTGGCATCACCAACAATGTTATATCCATCCATTACTACAGCCCCAAGCTCCATTAGGTACTTGTACGTCTTTGGTAACTTTCTCTGGTACGACAAATGTGACATGGAATCGAGACCAAACATTAACACATTCATTTTTTTCTGCATTAATCTATTAGGACTTTTGCTAGTTATTCGTTCAAATACTTCTTTCTTTGGATTAACTTGCACAAAAAGTTGGTCAAAATCGGCATGCTCATCCCTGTCGAAGAAGTTGTCATCCAAGTATCGATCAAAATAATGGTCGTACTCATTTCTGTATGTTTCATTCTCAACGTCAACATCGACAGAATTGTCGTAATTTTGTATCAATCTTGCGCGGTACACATCTTGTACATCTATATTTGTTTCATTTTGATTTTGTATATTCACTTCTTTCTTGGTATCCTTTAACTCATTTGCTATCTTTCTGTTTCGTTCTTCACTTTTGTTTTCAAATTTAATATCCTTTCCTTCTTGTTCTTCCTCATCTTTCTTTAAGAAACATTTAATCCTTACAAAATCATGCAATAGAATCAAATCAAAAGGTTCTTTTTCCTTAGTCAAAGGATCTGTATATGAAGCAAAATCGTCCGAAACTCTTTCAACTCCATAGTACATGCATTTTTCTAACTCTCTATCACCTAGTTGACTCTTATTAAACTTAAAAACATTATCTTCTAAATAAAACAACTCTTCTTTAGTGCAGTTTAATGGAGGTAGTTTAAAAAACGCATATTTTACACTGTCGTGTTTCAAATCAAAATTAGGTCTTTTACAAACTTGTTCCGTAGATGAAACATTCTTCTTTGATTCGGATCTAGATGTCCGGAGTATCTGTTTCAGGTTCAAATGTTCCGCTATATTAACTACTTTTACAGTAGTCTGAGGTTGTGTTTGACAATATACACAGTATTGTCCGATGCATGGAAATTTACAATTCAGTTGATTCTCGTTGCCACCATAATCTGTGTACGAGTCGATCGAGTCTGTCCATATGTACAATACAATGAGACAGATTAATAAAAGCAAGATGTGTCCTTTTTTCCGTCGCATGTACCGGTACACCATTGGACAATCATGTGCTTCACACATATAGCGCCTTCTGAACCTTCCTGAAAAAAAAAAACAACATAAAAATTTACCTATGTTCTGAAAGAGTTTTTTCTGTTTTAACATGTTATGTATCATGTGTGCATACCTATATGTACCTTGATTAATACAACCTCTCACTACAGTTACTGTGTTAAGGGAACTGAATCGTCAGCTCAGTTTTCTAGAGCCTTGTGATAATAATAAAATAGCTTGCAAACCTGTGGTCATGTCAGTTTGAATCCCACATAAGACAAATTTTTTACATGATACATTTGCTTCTGTATTAGTTACTGTAACAAATTTGAAATGTTTGTAAGGAGCAATTCATGTGTAAATTTGAAAACCGTCAATAATTTTGACTTATCTTGAAGCAGCATACCATCTCCAGATACAGGCTTAAGTGCATGAAAAATTTTGAAAATGTATTTAAAAGTGAACTGAAATATTGTGAAGTGAACGAAGAAAGTAATTTACACACATCAAAATAATTATCCACAAAAAATTCAAAAAGAGGCCAAATATGCAAAATTAGATACACAGTAGAAATGTGGTGATAAATACTGCAAAATCTGATGTTTAAATAGCATATAACATGTAACTGAATCTTTAATCTTTTCACAGACACTTGGGGTGTGGAGCTTAAAACGCCTTTAAAATCCAAATAAAATGTATATTTGTCAATCCCAGCACATGTACTGATCATATATATCAAAAAAACTTAATATAAGCCGTTTTGAAAAGATTTCATATTTCAACGTCTATAATAATACATGATCAGTACATGTGCTGGGATTGACAAATATACATTTTATTTGGATTTTAAAGGCATTTTAAGCTCCACACCCCAAGTGTCTGTGTTACTTTACTTTTTCGAAAAATCTTAGTACATTTTTCTCAAGTTTGATTTTCTTGAAATTTATATTTTGGCTCATCTGGAGGCATGCAGCTTTAAATTACTTACCATGGCAGTTTTCTATAACTTACATATATAGCATAATGCAGTACATATAACTTGAACAATTTTAATAATTTTCATTGAGAGCTGTAACCTGACAAAACCGATACTGATTTATTAGTTATTATTGATATTTCTCAATTAGCTAATTGATTATCTACATACATGAAGATTTGAATACATCAATAATTAAAACTAATTAATAAAATGTCAAGAAATTAAAAGGATTCGCTGAAGCATGAACAGTTTGTTCATAACACTTCAAACTTTATACAGAAAAAACTTATTGTATAGTACTACATGTGTCACGGTTCAGAACTGTTCACTATTTAGGGGAGAAGATGTGTAAGCGGCCGGATAGCTCAGTCGGTAGAGCCGCGGAACGGTGTTCCGAGGGTCCCGGGTTCGAGTCCCGGTCAGGCTGCACATTTTTCTCACCCTGTGACACATGTATAATTAATATCTGATACTGAAATCATTAAAGACACAGGTGTGCAAGACTTGTCATCAGAATGTTAATAATTGAATCTCTTTGATGTTGACCTGACATCAGATATTGAAATTTTGCAGCTATATAAAATGACAGCTTTAGTATTTTCAATATATCACTGTATATACATTGTAAGCAAAGTTGATTTTTCATTTTCTGGGAAAACAATAACCAGCTGTCACATAACAATTTTTTTTATTATTAAATTCTTCATAATTGTTGAAAGTGACATTTTATGCGGATATTTTCATTGACAAGTTAAAACGAATTAGCAATGTATTTCAAAAGATTGACTGTTATAATGCTGAGTTGATATTGAAAAATATTTATATATTTTTTTTAGGATAAAATATAAATTTGCCTACAATTAAAAAGACTTTGTTACAGGTAAATTTTCTGAATTTATAAAAATTTCCTGGGATCATGTGAGTTTTTTTATCATTCATGCAAAGAGAATTATAAAATTGAAAGGAATTATGGCAAAATGTAAACTTAGTTTGACTTTCACCTGTTCACTCACTATATACCCTTCTATGGGCATAATGTCACATATAATGTTCAGTAAATTACCAATTTCACTGAACTTGTTGAGTTATAATATCACCATTATCATGTATATTCCATAATGTATGAATGTGAAAATAATGCAGGAATTGAGCAATAGTAATGCCAAATCTATGCAACATATGGCAGTAACAAGCTATGTGATCAGTAATCAAATTGCAAAAAATAAATCAGCGCATATTGATTCTTTCACCTGATTTAGTTTATACAAAGTTATTTTACTTCGATCGTGTTGGAAACTTATTGAAACACTTTCAAATCCGTTCCTGGAACCAACCAGTACTAAGTAATGAATGTAAAGTTTCTTGCTCAAGGAAACAACAACTTGCCCCTGACAGGGTTTAAACCCACGCAGTCAGCAATCCTTAGATTACAAGTCCAACACTTTTACCACTTGGCCACACCGCCACTTCATCTTATTTAATAAATTTTATACAGTGTAACAATATTTGACTGGCATCAATGTCTGTCCCTTGAACAATTCAGTCACAGTTAACCATTGTTTATGATTGGGTTTAGCATTTGGAGAAGTTGGCATTCACTTGCAGGAAAAAACATACAGAATTCATACAAATTCTAGGGTGCATATGTACTCAGTCAGTTTGAAAAGCAACTACCTACCTACATGTAATATACAACTTCAAACAAGACAGACATGAATAACTAACCAACACTATAAAACCTAAACTGTAACAATGCAAAATACTCAAAATTCAAAAAAATACAATAAAAACATCAATTTTCAACACAACACAATATTTTTAACAGTTTTGGGGACAAAAATTGCAACAATTTTACTTGCCAAACTGAATATATAAATCAATAGCCTTACTTAGCATGATCAATGAATTCATGCAAGTTAGTCATGATGCAGTAAAAAGCCCAAGTTATATACATAATCCCTAGTCACTGCAAATGGCAGCACTTTCAGTATATCCATTTTTTACATTTCCTTGTCTTACACAACATCCCTGTGCAGTGAGCATACTTTAATATACAGAAACAAACAATAAGCATATTGCTTAAACAAATTAAACATTAAAGCAGGTGTTTCAACAATTGATATTGCTTCTAAAAATTATTTTCATATAAAATTAATTATAAATCTTGTATCCAAATAATGTATTATGTAACACAGCTGCCCCCTCCCCCAGGCTTTCTCCTACTCTGTAGAATAGCAGAGACTATGCCTTTAGGACCAGGAAATGTCAGGTAAAATCTCCTCCCTGAACATGAATAAGATGGTAAAATTCTTCTAAATCCCCCCCCCATAATATTGGTAAGTCTACATTTGGTGCAAAAATAAAATAACCAAACAACACCAGCAAAGCAGGAATATCTTGAGGGTAAAATCACAGCTCCATTCACCTGTTATCCCCTTACATCCCTCAAGGATCACTCCACAATTTATTCTATAAAAAAGTCATTTATAAAATTATACTATTACCTTAATCTATATGTCTGAAATTTGAAGTTGATCGTTCTATAGGTGATGACATAAATTATAGTACAAATTTAAGTTGATTGTTCTACATTAAAAACTATTGTAGTAACTATGTTCTTATACATTCAAAATTAGACTCAATAATTATCATAATATTAAGATATATGGTCCAAAAAAGATATGCACATTGGAGTTCAAGTAAGTATATGACAAAGCTGCTTTTTTAAGGTTACAAGCTGCTTCCAAATAGTAAATTATAAACTGTACATCAACAGATGTACTTAAGACATACTAGTGTTACATTCTCCTTTTTATTATTGGTTGAATATTATTAAAACAAGAGGGCCATGATAGCCCTAAAATCGCTCTCCTGATTATGCAGGCTCAATCTATTTTGTAAGTTTTTTTTTTTTACTTTTTAAATTGCATTTTACAATGATGCACTGAGGGGAGTATAATGTTAAATGATAGATGAATGTTCAGTGTGTGTGTTAAGAAACATGTTAAAATTGTGATAACCATTTAATCATTTCTTTAATATGTGATATTTTCCTTATTGATATGTGTTCTTTTGTGTGTGTTTTTTGTTTTTGTTTTTTTGTCGGTTTTTTTTTATTTAGAAGGCCGCATTATAAATAAGGTGTTACAATCTGTATATGTCTTAATGACTGTTACCTTCGGTAAATAAAGTTATTATTATTATTATAATCCCATTTAATTTGGGCTGACCGCTCACTGTGACCTAGTTTTTGACCACAGATGACCTTTATTTGAACTTGACCTAGAAATCACCAAAGCAACCTTTCAGGATATTTGTATCACAACAATAATTTACATGTATAGCCTCTAGAGTGTTAACAAACAAAAGTGGATGGAAGACGCTTAAAGATCACCCTGAGCTAGCTCAGGCGAGCTAAAAAAAAACCAATAAAATTGGAAATTTCGTTCTCATTTTGCTTCCATTCTCATGTTTAAATATGTAGATTTTATTGTAAAACATAAATACATGTGATAGTAGACAACTGGATATTAAGTTTCCTAGAGTTCTTAATGAGAATATTAAGCTAATACCAGTATCACAGGGGTATCATTACATAATTAAACATTTGTAATTTCACTGAGCTATTATCACTTATAAATATATCCAGTGATATAATGGTCTAATTTAGGCCTTATATCCAAAATAACAAAACTATTCGTATGGACACTTGAAACTTTTCAAAATTGAGAAAATCTTCCTATATATACCAAACATACAATTGTACAACATGTTGCTAAGCTTTAATAGGCATTTAACACCACATTGTGTTTATAAATGCGTTATAAACAACCTGCAATGTTGATGCATGGCAAATAATTCATGAAAAAATATTTGGAGGTAATGACAACTGAACATTAGGCAATTTTGGGAGCTTGTTTAAAATCTGAAGTTTAAATATCCTGCACTTCCGCCATTCAATTTCAAGTTCATATCTTGGATTATAATTTTGATTATCTGCCTTTGTATTTTTCTTTGCTCCTTTTCGTTTTTAAGAATCAAGCCAATCCCTTGTATAGTCCTAGAAATGTGCTGCAGGCAGAATTTTTTTATTCAACAAAGGGAGATAATAAGCAGGATTTGATTCCAGGACTATACAGGGTTCCTGCAATGGTAGCTCAGTTTTTGTACTTTGATATTGAAATTCCTTAAGTCTCAAATTCAAAGCTAGGCAAATCCATTTTACAAAATCAAGGATGAAGATTTAAATGGGCGAATATCTTCAAAATAACACATAAAATGACATAATAATGAATAATGCCAGCTCAGGTCTGGAATTAAATCTATGTTCAATCTACAATGTATGCTAAAGATTATTTCTCTAATAATCTAAAAAGTCTCAAGACAACTTCAATTACTTGAACTTTCATTCAAATCTTAAGAATTTATGCAGAAAAAATTATTGTAGATGACACAACAACAAAAAATCTTTGAAAACATTAACTTGTACTTATTGTAAATTTTAAACAAATATTGCATTACAGCATTCTACACAACTTTTCTAGTATACCAACCTGTCTTTAAAATAAATTCTATGAAAACATGAAGCAGTCACATTTCTTTTAAAGAGTTCACTGTTGTTAAATATCAAACATGTGAAAAATTTATCTTTGAATACTCCTCTGAGTGGTTTAATAGAAAGTTGAAAAAAATTCGGACAAAATTTTTGATAAAATGTTAGCAACCACTAAATCAGTTTTATCATCGGACAAATTCATTCTTGAGGTAATTGATAGACTTACAATATTATAATAGTTTATATATACAAAATCAATGTTCCTTTATTAACCATTCATAAGGCACACAATAAGATATTACAATGCTTCTTTTATCCAGTAAATACTTTGTGTACTCAGACAAATAAGGCAATGTAAATAAATAGAAATACTCTCCACAAATGAGGTCATTATCATATTCACTGATGGTTGAGGCTTACTTTCATGCACCAAAATGTACTGATGCTATGTCATTGTGTGTCCAAATTAAAAGAGTGTAGCTTCTTGCCTGGAAGTATTTGACACAAAACTTTTGAAAAATACAAGTATATTGTAATAACCTAGGAAATAAAATAAGTGACCAGACTAAGGCTCCCACGTTTACAATTTTTTTGTAAACGTTTACACTATGTACTTGCCTGCAAGGGAGAATGATGATCACTAACAAGGTTTGCCTGCAAGTAACAAGTTTTGCCTGCAAGTGGGAATAATGATCACTAACAAGTGTTGCCTGCAAGTGGGGATGATGATCACTAATAACAGAGATCGAAAATTCCACTTATGAGTAGATTTTAAGAGCACTTGATGCAGGACGAGTTGAAAATGTTGCCTGTACATTGGATTTAGAAGCTACTACTTTTGTAAATGTAACAAGTGTTACACTTGTGCAGGTCAACTTTTGACTTGTCAGAGGGCCATAATTATTTAATTCTTTGTAGAAGTCTAATTGGCAATGTAACATGCCAATAATCAGAGATCTGCTGAGAATTTGAAAGTACTGGGCCCTGGGTCCACTTAGTCTGAAAATGATGGGCCATTTTAACCGAAGTATGGGCATTGGGGAAATAAGTAAACATTGACCTAAATGACTGTTAAAAAGTTTGTAGAAAATTGAATTTCCTTTGTAATGGAACTTGAACTTAAACCATATTTTAAGACAAGTAAGTGGTTCACTTATGATTCAGTACTTAACAGAGAAGATTACCAATAATTTAAAAAAATGCCTAGACGGCAACTTTTTATTGCAGGCAAAACTTTTTTTCAATGGCTGCTCAAAAATCTGATTTGCATAATTTATTCACATAATTGCTGGTTCTTACTTCTAATGTCTAATAATGTGCATGATCCATTTTATTGTTCCTACTTTGCACCAATGTCCCTGTCAATTTTATTGCTCCTTGTATACCTCTATGTAGAAAGCATACATCAATTTTAGACACTTGCCGACAGACCTTTTGATCATGAAAAAAGTCATGCACAATGTTTCCCTGATTGGTTAATCACTCTGTCAAATATTCTGATAATGAAATAAACATAATTTTTTTACACTTCATCAGCCAAAGCTTGAGTGAACTTGAGTGACCTTAGGGAAAATCAAGTTGTACACCTGTCAGATTATTCTGGAACTTACAGCATTTCTTAAAATAGCAAAGCTTTTTTTTTCAGTTACCGATAATCATTTTAAATATTAAGTAGTTGTATATTTTTTTTGTTTGTTTTATTGGATTAGATTTACGTTAGTAGAAGTGAGTATCTGTGTGGTAAAGGGATTATGAGAAGAAATGTGTATCCATTCGGTAAGTAGATAATGTGAAAATGAGCTAAAGGGGAATGGATAAACTCAAGAATAAGCGTATTTACAGGGGAATGGGTAACCCTGTTGCTGTTGGTACCAATTTGGACTGGATGACTAAAGAACCCAGCGGACAGTTTTGTTTTCTTATAAGTCTGGCACAGATTTTAGATGCACCCTTGGCCCTTTGTGTATAAAGTTTAAGAAGCAATAACTAAACAGCTATTTAAAAGAATATTTTGCATAGAACTACAGTTTCCAAGCAAAGAGCTTGATTCACATTTATACGAGGGAGTCAAAGTCAAAGGCTTTGGCTTGCCCAGCTATAGACTACATGTGTATATTTAAATGTGTATATTTAAAAGAAAATCAAACAAACAAAACAATTAAAAAATATAAAGAATTCTATACCTAATTACAATGAAATTTTCACTGTCAGTTCTAGTTAGGCAATGTAACTCAATGATAAAACTTAAAAGGCGGTGTATTTCGATAACGGAACAAGTCTCAACTTTTCGGATAAATAATAATCGTCGAGTGTTCCGAGTGAAAACGGAAGCAGGTATATATATACTCTGACTCGGTATTATCGGCACAACTCTATTATCGACGTACTCTCTGTATTTTGTCATGTGCGGTCATGTATACATTGAAATTAAAAATCTTTGACCTCATTCAATAAAAAATGTAATGATTAGTTGAATTTGTACTGCTTTACACAGAATATTGATTATTAAATTCATGAATGAAATTCAATGCAGACATATAGGAAAACTTAAGTACGCCGAAAATACGGAGTCCCATGATAATACCGAATAACACCTTTAAAATGGAAAAAATGAAAGAATTTTTTACCGACTTCCCCGTTCAAAGGCTTTGCCTAATTTCATATTATACTGAGTTAATTCTTTATGATAATAAAATAATTGCAGTCTATGTATTGCAATAGCATACCTGGTTAGGGTAAAAAGATTAACGGAATAGTTGCTTGCCCTGCCAAATGTCAGGAACGAAAATATTTGGGTACGAATCAGTCAGCTTACAAACGCATACAACTTTCATTTATTCATTCAGCTACAATGCATTTGGCAACACGGCATTAGGAGAACTATGTCAACTTGTGCATCAGATTCCTTATGCAAACCGTTATTTTAAGCCGTAAAAAAAGTCTCTGGAATTGTTTACGTGCATGACAATTTATTATCTCCCTTGAATGGCGCTACGTAAGAAGTTGCTGACCGTGAGACACACTTTTCTTCAAAGGTTAGAAAAGAAATATTTATTTCTTGTTTGGATTTAGGTAATTTTTTAACGAGTAATTATTGTTCTTCCAGGTATTTTTTGCTTGCAATGATTATGAAATGATAAAGCATTTTCTTGAATTGTGTTGCCACGAAAATCTTGGGATCTATTGATGCAGCCTGCCATGAACAGGTCTAGGATTTCATGATATTTACGGACTGTCCGTAAATTCATAGATGGTCTAGAATTTTAAAGATTTTTCAATCCATAAATTTAAAGATATTCAATGTGAAATTTGCTGTTTTTAGTTTTAAACTAAAATTTGAGCTTAAGACAAGTTGTTTTATTGATTGTTTATATTTACAAAGGTAATGGGGTGAGTTTCATCTTTGTATGATGATTTTGAAATTTTTGTTAAAAGTGAAAATTGAAAGTCATCAAATTGTTCTGAATCTTACCATACTGTTACATTTATTCATATAATAAGTAACCTTATCCATTTTTACCTGCGGTTTTGAATTTTAATGCAACTTCTACTATTTTCTTAGTTCATGTCTGTAAATTTACAGATTAAAAAATCTGTAAAATTATAGATCGTCCAAAAATTTACAGACTGTCCATAAATATCATGAAATCCTAGACCTGATGAACTTTACAGTATGGAATAAATAATTTAGGCCTATGTGAACTTATCTGCTTATTGCTTTATACTACCACAATTTCTGTTCACACTAGTAGTTTTCTACTTTTGGGTCAGAAGTTCACTTAACCATTTGACCTGTAGAATGTAGGTTTAAGAATTAGACTGTCTCATAAACAGATGAAATGCAGGCAATCTCCAGTGATAGATGTTTTTCACTCTGGAAACTATACTGTGGAGGAAAAAAATATTTCAACAAACAAAATCAAAGGATGATGTTATTTTTTGTTGAAAAAAATGAGCTTTACCTTGACTGTCTAGGTCAAACTATTGAATTTTGGTTAAGTTGTCATAGATTCTAATTTTGTTGTTTATGTACGGATTTGATTCATAAGTGGACAAAACAACACTTGTGAGCAAATGGACATTTTGAATAATTTGGGTGTGACCTTCACCTTCCATTACCCTTGATTGTCATGGTGAAAATTAATGAAATTTTCTTGTTTTTTTTCCTGTAACTGGCTATAACTTATTTATAAATGGATTAACTTAATTATTCATATGTAGACACAACATCTTTTAGGTCAGGACCTTCATGTATCAAACTCAACTTGACCTTGACTCATGAGTCATGTATGACCTTGACCTTGAAGGTCAAATCATTTGATTTGCACTGATTATTGCTATACATTCGTAATTGGCTGTAACTTGTTAATTAATCAATGGGTTATTTTTAATAAATTACTTGAAGGTTAAATTATTGAATTTTCACTGACTTTTGCTATAATTGACTGTAACTTGGAAATTAAATTAAATGAATAAACGGATTATCTTCATACTTTGACAAAACAACCTTTTGGAAAAGACCTAAAAGGTTGAACTGACCTGACCTTGAGCTTTGACCATAAATAATAAAATATCAAAGTACTGAATTTGGTTAAATTGTCATAATAATATTATTTATTTACAGATTGGATTCATACATGGACAAAACTACACTTTTGACCAATTTGAAAGAATTTAGATATGACCTTGACCTTTAATGACCTTGACATTAAGATGATTGAATTTCAATTATATTTTCTTAATTAACTTCACAGAATTGTTATATGTAAACATATTGCATTGATTTTTTTACAGTATATAGAGGACATGTCCCAATATTTATTCTTTTTTGTAAAATTGTGTACATGGAATAAAATATGTGAACAGTAGACTAGTGCTGCAGTCCTAAGGCTATTAACTTTTTGAACAATCCTTGTATACTGCTTTGTCATTTAAATCACTTTATTTTTAATAATAACAGAGGAAATGTTAAAGCAGGATGTTTGCTGTCTCTTAAGGCTGTAAATTTATTATTTTCTGTATTTGTTCTTTTTTGAACATAATTGTAAGTACATTTTTTGTTGCCAAATTAATACATATTTCTTTCACTGTAGATGTCACATTAAAGAATATTTCATCACTGTTGGAGAGGTGTCCAAGAAAAGAAAAGCCTGATTGTAGAAGTTCTATTAAAATTATAAAAATGCCAGATAACGAAGGTGTCCCCATTGACAAAGGATGGGCATGGATTGTTGCCACTGGTAAGTATATGAAGTTAAACATTATTAAACCCTTACCACACTAAATATCTTAATTGAACTTATTTACTTAAAAGTACTAACTTACACACCAATGTTTACAAAATAATATGTTGAAACAGTGTAAAAGTATACTAAAATTAGAATGCCAAACTTTAAATAACTTGAAAAAAGGCTTTAAATACTAGGATTAGGAAAGGTCAGCTCTGTATTAAAACACAAAATACTTTATTTTTGACAAGAGCCTTATATTTAGCTATTAAATTATCCATCTTTCTAGCTTGAATAACCTTGACCCTGAAGATCAGGTTTTAAAAAGTCAGAAGGTTTTACATGATTGTCATTAAACTTTGTTATTTGATAACATATTTTGGAAAGTGAACATTAATTTTATGCTTTACAAACATACTTTGTTAGAACTCAAGCAAATATTCATTTGATTTATTCACTGTGTAACTCAACTGTAAGCAGATTCTGCTACAAAGTAAATAGACTTTTCTGTCTTCATAATATGATGTAAAATCTATGCAGTAAAATTTTAGAGTTCTAATGTTAATTAACATAAGAAACAAATCAGCATTTTTCTTGTAGTTAAAGTTTGTATGTTTTCTATATACAATGTATTTATGTTAATTTTCTTATGTTAATTTCCCTGTATCTTTAATGATAAATAATTAATACTGTTTAAAAACTTTACTACTGAATATGAACAGTTTTATTGAATATTCATGTTAAAGATGAAGTCAGATTGACAAAAGGGGGGAAAAATGAAGAAATGTTTTTTTTTATTTCAGGTTATTTTGTTGGAATATTTTGGATGGTTGGTATTGCAAAATCATTTGGGATACTGCTGGAACAGTTTGTTGACTATTTTGACATTCCTGTTGCCATGGCAGCTTTGATAATGGGTGTGGCAGGGGGAATGTACACATTGGCAGGTATGATTTTCACAGAAGATGATCAAAACATATTAGTTTATATATATTATCAATTTGGTCACATGATAAAGGTATATTATAAAATACAGTATTATAGGCAGCAGAAGTTTCATGAGCAATTAGTATACAGCTTAATAATAATACTTAATTAAGGTGTATAGTCAAAGTGTTTACTCAGGTAAGGTGTATACTCAATGAAGGTGTATACTCAAAGTGTTTACTCAGTTAAGGCGTATACTTAATTAAGGTGTATACTCAAAGTGTATACTCAGTTAAGGTGTATACTTAATTAAGGTGTATACTCAAAGGGTATACTCAGTTAAGGTGTATACTCAATGAAGGTGTATACTCAAAGGGTATAATCAGTTAAGGTGTATACTCAATGAAGGTGTATACTCAAAGGATATATTCAATTAAGTTTATATTCATCTCAAATTTGATGTTTGAAAACACTGATATTTTCTACACAGTTTTTTTTAATCTGTAAAATAAACATTCTTTTGAATACACACAGCTGATATGTTATGTTACTGTACACACTTTGGGTTAAAACATTATGATACATAAGGTCATTAAAAAAGTGGCAGTTTTTTAGAAAGAACTTAACTTGACCAGTATTTGGGAATGCACCTTTAAATGACCTTGACCATCAAATGATTAAATTTTGATTATATTTTCTTAACTTTGTCATTTATTTATGGAAAGGATTCATACTTGGACAAAACAAAAAGTGTGACTAGACAGACCTATTAAAATTAAGAAAGGAAAAATTTAATTCTGTTTTTCTTTAATTTTCTTTTCAAAGATTTGTTTAAACCGTTTGTTTGCTTGTTTTTAGAAAAAATAATAAAGCGAAGGGTTGCCCCACACCCAGCGGTGGCTCTTGTTTAAAACAACAAGTGAGACTAGACAGGCCTGTTAAAATTAACAAAAGGAGAAACTTATTTTTTTTTCTTTAATTTTCTTTTTAAAGATGGCTGTTGTTTCATTTTGTTTCAGCTCCCATATGTGTTGCTGCTGGTCAACATTTCACACAGAGAAAAGTGGTAATGCTAGGTGGCTTCATTGGGGCTCTTGGTCTCTCATTGAGTGGTCTACTCTTCAGTATAGAGTGGGTAATATTAACCTTTGGAGCTCTCTATGGTGAGTATAGACTTAATGTTGCAGAGGTTCCATTATGTTAGAAAGAATCTTGATCATTTCTTAATCTTGTTGGTAATTTGTGTGTGTAAATGATTTCCTACCAAAGTTATGTGCAAAAGAAATAACTTAAAGTAGCCAGATAGCCTAACACGTGTTTACAGAAGAAATTACCCACCAACAGAGTCATGATAAAACCCCTGCCATTGTTATATGCCCGAAAAATTTTCGGGCATATTATGTTATACCCCCTGGTTTCGTCTGTCCGTTAACAATTTGGTTTCCAGAGCATTACTTAAGTTCCATTTGGCCCAAAATATTCAAACTACATACATGTAGGATGATTGTCCATATTGAGCAGGACAGTCACCTGTGTAGGCAAAATCCTGATTTTGAATAACTTGTGGTCTTATGTTGTTGTTTTTTTAAGAGTGTATATAGAATCTACAAGTGGTCTTATGTTGTTGTTTTTTTAAGAGTGTATATACAAGTGGTCTTATGTTATTGTTTTTTTAAGAGTGGACTTACAACTGGTCTGATGTTGTTGTTTTCTTAGAGTACTTAAAGTGGTCTTATGTTTGATTCTAGGTTTTGGAAATGCCTGTCTGTTTGGAAATGGGTTGGTAATGTTAGGACAGTATTTCAGCAAGAGGAGAAGTTTGGCTAATGGGCTGTCCTTGTCAGGAGCTAGTCTAGGGCAGTTTGCAATACCACCTTTACTGCAGTACCTGCTTGACACTTTCTCTTTAAAGGTAAGTGGAATTAGTAAGTTTATATGTTTATTTTATTATTTTTATGCCACCGCCGCATCTGCGATGCGGTGGCATATAGCAATTCACCTGTGTGTATGTGTGTTTGTGTGATTGTGTGTTATATAGATTATATAGTGAACTTAAAAAATCTTCTCGTGAAAAACCACTAGTCCAATTTCAACCAAACTTGGCAGGATTGATCCTTGGGTGAAGGGCTTCCAAAGTTGTTCAAAGAATTTCATTCCATGCAGAAATCTTGTTGCCATAGCAACCAAAAGGAATTATAAGAATAAATTTAAAAATCTTCTTGTAAAGACCCAAAAGGCCTAGAGCTTAGATATTTTGCATATGGCATTGTCTGGTAGACCTCTACCAAGATTGTTCAAATTATAGCCCTGGGGTCAAAATTGGCCCTGCCCTGTGGGTCATTGATTTTCACTATATGTACATATAGTAAAAACTTAAAATACCTTTTTGTAAAGACCCAAAAGGCCTAGAGCTTAGATATTTTGCATAAGGCATTTTCTGGTAGACCTCTTCCAAGATTGTTCAAATTATAGCCCTGGGGTCAAAATCGGCCCTGCCACCGGGGGTCATTGATTTTCACTATATGTACATATAGTAAAAACTAAAAATACCTTCTTGTAAAGACCCAAAAGGCCTAGAGCTTAGATATTTTGCATAAGGCATTGTCTGGTAGACATCTACCCAGATTGTTCAAATTATAGCCTTGGGGTCAAAATCGGCCCGTCCCGGGGGTCAATGCTTTTCCTTATACATGTATGTATATAGTAAAAACTTTAAAAAAAATTTCTTCTAGCAATTGACAAATGCTAGAGGTTAGATATTTTGCATGAAACATTGTGTAGTGAACCTCTAGCAAGATTGTTCAAATTACAGCCCTGGGGTCAAAATTGCCCCCGCCCCGGGGGTCATTGATTTTCAATATAAACATAAAGTAAAAAATAAAAAAAATCTTATTGTCTGAAGGTACAAGGCTTAGAGCTTTAATATTTGTTAAATGATATCATCTATAGGTACTCTACCAAAGTTGTTCAAATTTTGCTCTAGTGCCAAAATTAGCCCCGCCCAGGGGGCATAGGTTTTCCTTATATGTATTGATTCGTAAAAATTAAAAAAAAATTCATTTTCTCTAAATTTACAAGGCTAGAGTAAGATATTTTGCATTGAACATTTGTGTAGTGAACCTCTAGAAAGAATTGTACAAATTATAGCCCTAGGGGGTCATTGATTTTTCACTTGTTATTTAGTAAAAAATGGAAAAAATTCTTGTTTCTGAAGGTACAGGCTTAGGAGCTTTTGATATTTTGGTTTATATAATATATCTATGGGTTCCTCTATACTAAAGTTGTTTCAATTATGCCTTGTTGTTAAAATTGCCTGCCCCAGAGGCGTATTTTTTTCCTTATATTTGTATAAAGCTTTAAAAAGTGAGAAATCTCTTCTCTTAATTGACAAAGGCTAGAGGTTAAATATATGGCATGAGACTTTGTGAAGTGAACCTCTACTTATAGCCACGGGGTCAAATTGGTTACGCCCCTGGGCTCATTGATTTTCATTATGTACATACAGTAAAAAAAATAAAAAATACAAGGCATAGAGCTTCGATGCTTCCTTTATAATATCATCTATAGGTCCTCTACCAAAGTTGTTCAAATTTTTCCCCTGGTGTCAGTTATTCTCATTATGTACACATATGTACACATAGTAAAAACAGAAAATAAAACAAATGTTTTCGAATGGGAGAAAGCGACAGCTTAGATATTTGACTTGAAATGTTGTTTGGTGGACCTGTATCAAGATTGTTTTTACTTAAACCCTTGGGTCAAAATTTTGTCTTGCCCAAGGGGACAGTGACCTACTTTCTTGTCCTTTGATGTACAGCAATGAAATTTTGACCATGTGCACAGTTTTAGTTGTAAAATTGAACTTTGATATCAGGTGACCTAGATTTTGATGATGTGACCTACTTTCTTGTCCTTTGATGTACCTTTCTTGTCCTTTGATGTGCAGCTTTGAAATTTGAACCATGTGCACAGATTAAGATGTAAAGTGAACTTTGATATCAGCTGACCTAGATTTTGACCAAGTGTCTTACTGTGTTTTCCTTTGATGTAGTCATGAAATTTAGGCTGTGTGAAATATGACCTTCACCACCAAATTCACTAGAGTCAAGTGCATTGATATATTCCTACTCTGATCTTTTTTATTGGATTAACAATAGATTTAACCACTAATCTGATAAAAAGAATTAGATAGGTCAGGGATCTATGCATTATAACAATCTAAAATTCTATAGAAACAAAAAAATCTGTTCCTACGTAGTGTTGTATTACTGCGGTGCCATAGCATTTTTCTCTAATGCAATCTTGTTTTGTTCAGCAAATATAGTGTGTGCAAAACTTTATCGTTAAAAATTATTCATAATATGTTGTTTATAGCAGAAAAATATATATATGTTGTTTGAAGTCAATTTGTTCAGCATTTTATACTCGTTGATAAAAATATGTCAGAGGTGGGTGGGGTTCAATTGTTGACCAATATTGTACATATCTTAGGTATCTTACATTGATCTCTACCTTTTGATGGGGTTTAAAGTTTCACATGTATAAATAAATGTATGTACCTGCTGTATATATATAATATTGCCATTTATAAATTTTATAGAAATATTTCATTGAATTCATCATGATACATGTACCTATTAAAGGTCTCTGAAAAGAAATACACTCTTCTTCATAATCTGAAAGTGTTCATTATTTCACAAGCATTTTATCATTGCATCTTTATTTTGATTTGGTCAGTAGGTAAAAGAAGGAAATGAGGTAATAAGTATTTCTAACAGTGATTATAATTCTGCTGACTTTCATTATATGATTAATTTTGAGAACATTTTTTTATCATGTTAAATTGTTTGTAACTTAGAAAACATTTTTTTTTTTTAGGGAACTTTGATAATCATCGGAGCACTATATATGAATGTTATGATTTGTGGAGCACTATTTAGACCAACAAGTTTTTACACAAAACATCATACCTCGGCCCAAAGAAAGGTAGAACAGCAGAAACTTTTTAAAATAAGCAAAAACGGGGGGGGCCAAATTTAGATTTAAAATCCGGAGAAAAGAATAAAGAGAGGGGCAAAATGTGAAAAAATTTGCATTGGTAATTACTGGTTAATTTTTTGGGTTCGGGAAAATTTTAGGCAGTTTTTTATAAAAGTGTCCCCCGGTTTTCTTTCCCTACCCTTTAAAACCAGACTAAAAAAAAATGGGAAAATGAAAATGAATCAAAAGTAATTTAATTTTTTTCTTTGGTTACAAATTTCCAGTGTTTAAGAAGTTTTAAAATATTTTGTTTATGTATTCGTTTTTAAATTTTTTTTCGGACTTTTAAATTTAATTTATTTTCCCAAAGTCAAAGAAGGGGGTACCCAATATTATCCCTTTTTGTCCAAAAAGGGTTTTATGTGATCTCTGGGGGGCCCGTCCCCCCTTGGTGGGTTTTTTGGTGCGGGGATATCCTTTATTTAATTTAAAAAATAAAGGATTAACAAATTGTTTGGGTGGATTTTCTATATTTGTTTAGTGTTTGTGGGCCCGTTTCCCTTTATGGGTTTTTTTTGGTTTTTTGGTTTTTTTTGGGGGGTGCTTTTGTTGAAATAAAACCCCCCAGTATTGAAGTTTTTTGGGTTTAAATTTGCAAAGGTTTCGGATTTTGTCCTATTTATAAAGGTTGGGAAAGCAGTATTGGCAACCTGCATGGTTGGGGCGTTTTTGAATTATACCATAGGGATTTTTATGGGCCCGTCGGGCCCTTTTGATTTGTTGTTTTTAAAGGGTTTTTTAAGTTTTGGTGGATTTAACTGTTGCCCAAAAATTTTATTTAAATCAGCAATGGTCCCCATTACAAAATGTTGGGGATCTTGTGCCAGGGTAAAGGGTCTTTGGGTTTTCAAGTTCTTTTTTTTTCATCATTTTTAAAATTTTTTAATCACCCCAGGGACTTTAAGTTTTTTCTTATGGGTGATGTTCATGTAGTTTTTAAATTAGGTTTTTATTATGTGATGTTTGTTTCCCAAAAAACTCCAATCCCAAATTTTAATTTTGGGACTTTGTTGTTTAAATTAAAAAAATTAGTCTCTAATTACAATCCCGGGAAAAAGTTTTTCCCTGGGTCAATTTTAAATTATCTTAATAAAATTAGCCTTCGGGTTTTAAATTTCCCTTGTACAAACTAAAATTCAGTTTTAAAACTAACACTTCCCGATATTATTTCAAAATTTTGTTTAAAATTGTTTTTGCTAAGGTTTAAAATTTTTTTAAAAAAAGACAAAATTTTGATTTTAAAAAAACCATTTTAAAAAATTCCCCCGTCACAATTAAGGTTTAAACATTTAGGGGGTGTGCAAAAATAAAGTTAGTTCAATAAAGGGTAAATTAATTTTTGTGTTTTATGTAGGGGAGCAGTTTTTTTTTACTTACCATGTTGAAAAAGGTTCCGGAAGGGGGTGATAAAGTCCAAAATATATGTTGAAAAATTTTTGCCCATAACTTTTGTCAGACAATAGATAGATAGATTTCCCCTTATTAGGGTTGTTTTCTTTCGATGAAATGTCCTCATCCCCTAAAAAAAGAGTCAATTTTTCAAAAAACCCACTTGAAAAATGTAAGATTTTAAGGAAGAAACCAAGCTTCAGTTTTTAAAGAAAAATAATCAAATGTTTGTGAAATTTAAATGAGGGATTTTCCCAAGTTTTGTTTGTTTTTACTGTTTGTATAAGGGGGAAAAGGGTTTTTTTTGAAAAATTTTTTGGCCCCTCTTTTGGTATTTTTTGGTTTGTAGGTGCCTTTTTTGCTTTTGAAAATTTACTATTTTTGTTCAACTTTACAATATTTAACTTTTGAATACATTTTCAAAATTTTCACGAAAAATTAGCATTAATCTGGAGAGGCATGTTGCTTTAAAAAAAGCTTTGATGTCTAAGAAAACAGCATAACTTGACTTTTGAGGTCAATTGATGACATAGATAAATTGAACCATGTAACTTAGTTGTATATTGGTACATTGCGTTACATAACCTGCATTTTCTTCATTAAGTTTTGTTACTTTTACTTAATACTTATTATGTTATTTGTTCTGTGGTTAGATTTAATTCATATTATGGTACTACAGTTGAGTTAAAAATAAAGTTCCTACCTTTGTGCACTTAGTGTGCACTAAGAGTGCACATTGATATGTTTTTGATTAAAACTGCCATGATGATTCCTAGACAAGTTACTCCCCTTTATAATAATGTAAAGGTAATAATGAAAATATACTTTATTATTGGTATTTTGTTTTTGTTGTGTACTTTTTGATACTAAGCATTTATTGATAGACTTTCTTACATGCAGTATGATCTTAAATCCTTGCATCTAAACTTTTTAGAAAAATAATTATTGAAATAACATGGAAACTGGTATTTACATTTTCATGAAAAGTTAATACTTGGTTTTGTTGTTCATATTTATAGTTTGAGTCTTTCAGATTAATTTGAAAGCTGTCCAGCTATGGGTCTATACTGGTGCTTTTCTTAAAGGAACTCCACTGAGGTTTTTTGACATGATGGGACTGAAAATATTTTTTCCAGATAAATGTACCATTTGATGAAGGTTTAGACCACTAATCTTTGTGCAAAATTTCAGATCATTCGCCCACTTCGTTTTTCCAGAATAATTATACAAATTGTAAAAAGTGACCCAAAAATGAAAAGCGTTTTAAACGCTTTTCACTCAAATCGGGCTAAGGAAGGCCCAAACATACAATTTACAATTTATTTCAAAGTATATTTTTAACAATTTTTTGCATATATTACTGCTTAAAGTGTCCCAGCTCATTTATGTAAGAAATTCAAATGTTATGTTTTTAGGCTTTTAAACCTCAATTATAATATTTTAGAATAACTTATTGACTGTTCTTTCATCATAAGATCTGTAACACTGTCATGAAGCATTTAATTGTGGTCATGTGACTGATAGCCCAAATTAACTAAAGATCTTTTACAAGGTAAAATATATACTAGTTTTAAATTGATTTGGATAATAATTTTTGTTTACTTCAGTTGCTTTTTATGGAATATTTTAACTCAGTGTTCTGTTGTGTTCAAATTTTAATACACTTGTTAGAAAGATTATATAGTATCTTACTTTATTTGCTTTATTATATATATTTTTTGTATTAACTATTTTTTTGTAGTAACTTTTTGATCTCATAACATTTGTAGAATTACCCAATGAAAGGTTGGTTAATACAAAATTTATTGAGTTTCTCATACAGTAAACAACATTTTTAAGTTAAAAGGTAAGGTAAGGCTAAGTTGAAAGGTAATACATGTATATCTGTTGGTTGATAGGTCAGAATTGTACCATATCATGCATGGACTTTCACACCTTAAAATTTTGCAAACTTTTAATGGGCTAGCCCTGCTTTGAATTTGGAATAGTCCATTTACTGTTGTGGGGGAGTGGTGTTGAAATTGGAACAGTCCATTTACTGTTGTGGGGGAAGGGGTGTATACCAAAAGGCAAAATTTCAGGAGCCAGCTGTATAAGATGCTGGTATGACAATATATTGTTGAAAAAGGCTAACAAATATTTTATCTAGCATCCATATAGTTTACCCATCCTGCTGAATTTATAAATGGACTTGCCTGGCTTCAAGTTTTGGACAGTCCATTGTCAATTCAGGGTCATCAGGATGATAATTTTAATTTTGTCAGTCAAGAGTCTTGCCATACTGTTCAGATGTTCAGAAAGACCTGGTTCATATTGTTACATGTAGCAAATGCTTATCACTTTATATTCCAACAGAGTTACGGTTAAAAGGTATATAAGCAAAAAAAACTTTTTATTACAGAAAAATTAGTATTAATACTTTAATGATAAACCGATGAACTCATATAGAATCTTATGTTTAAACTTTTATATTGATAATTTCTGACAGAAGGTATGAAAAAGATTATTTTGATGCATAATATATTTATTTTTTAGATTCTGTAAGTTTTGTAAATTAAATATTTGCTTTTATCTAGAATTGTTTTTGTCTTTTCGTATGTTTCACTTGATATCTGTTTGATGAAAAATTTGCAAAAATTAATTCATTCTGTTGCTCTAATTGTATGTTTGATATCAAATATTACATCATTTTGTTGTAGTGATATATGTTTGATAACAAATATTACATCATTTTGTTGTAGTGATCAAATAGAACATCATTTTGTTGTTGTAATATGTGTTTGATATCAAATATTACATCATTTTGTTGTAGTAATATATGTTTGATAACAAATATTACATCATTTTGTTGTAGTGATCAAATAGAACATCATTTTGTTGTAGTAATATATGTTTGATATCAAATATTACATCATTTTGTTGTAGTAATATGTGTTTGATATAAATATTACATCATTTTGTTGTAGTAATATGTGTTTGATATCAAATATTACATCATTTTGTTGTAGTAATATGTGTTAGATATCAAATATAACATCATTTTGTTGTAGTAATATGTGTTTGATACAAATATTACATCATTTTGTTGAAGTTATATGTGTTTGATATCAAATAGCACAGCTGTTTATTCTGTTGCTCTAACTGTTGGCTCGACAATTTATCCACATAATGAAAATTGTTTCAAAGTTTTCATCCCTGATTACATTAAAATTGGGGTTCTATCAACTGTATTTTTGTAACTTGATGATATATTCAAGATATGTTTTGTTTGAGAGATTTAGTATATATACACAGAGTGTTTCACCTATTCTATTGTTGTATGGTACAATTTTGCATTATATATTGTATCAAGAGTTGTTGCCCCTGATTTGGTCTAGCTTATATAATTATATACTATATTAGATCTAAATTCCTTTGATTAGTATGTTGTATGCCGTAAAAAGTTAATGTTTGGAATGATATTTTACTTGCCTCTTATAATTCTGTAGCAGTGTTTTATATTTTTGTTAGCATGATATTTGTTGATGGTAATTAATATGAGCTGCCTTTTATTTCATTTTACATGAGTACTGATAACTGTTGGCGCAATTATCAATATAAGCATAAACAAT